ATTGTCTTACCCTTTAGATGGCAATGCACCATAGAGTTGTTCATCTGTCTTTGGAATCTCCAGCAAAAGTCGTGAATTGGTGTCTGTGCAGGTGGCTCAAGGGACATTCAGATGACCCTGCACAGCGTCACTTAACTACATGTATTCTATGTTAAAATAGGCATAACTTGGTCATCTTTGATCAGAATGGAAAGGAGTATTTCATTTTTAGCCTTTCCTTAGAAAATTTTTTTTTTGCAGATAAAATTTAAGTCACAAATATTTTTGCACTAGAAAGAAGCATTGTAATGTTTTGCTCTTTTCCCTTTGACTTAATTCTTTTATGTTTTGAGTGCATACCCAAATCAGGGCATTTAGGTACAGTGCTTTTTTTCCCCCTTGATTTGAATAATTTAGAGTTAGATAAGGACAAATGTTTTTTCATCTTTGATCAGGATCATTTTAGCACCCTAGTTCTTTGGAATAATGGTTTATAAATTTTTTTTTATTTGGTTCTCATTTGTTGTCATGCTATGGAGGCCTTGTAACCCAAGATTATGTGACTATTCACACATCTTAGTATTCTAATGTTGAAGTTTTTTGCTTATATTTTTAATTGATTGGCAATATATTTTTATAAGATATGAGCTGACCATTCTAATTCCCTCTCTGTTACTTTCTTGTCCAATGTTATCACCTTTCTTTCCTTTTAACTTATAGGCATATTCTTGATCCCTCCCTACACGTAATAATTATTGTGGTTTTATAAAGTAATTTAGTTTTTTATTTAGACTCTTGCTCGTTGTAGTTCTCCCAAAGCTTCTTGGATACCCTGGACTACTCTTTCCCTCAAAGTCTCAGATACCCTCCATGGAGATGTGAAATGTGTATGATTTGCTATCAGCAGAGTAGACCTCTTCACGATATGGTGCCTCCCCCCGACCCCAACAAAACAGGCACCTCTTTCCACTTGGCCAGTTCTTTGGTCACATCCCTAGAATAGCCTCACAATAATTTGGAGGTGTTTAGGTAGCCTTTTTGAGTTTTCTGCCAGCCTACTGAGCTGCGCTCTGGTTATTGCAGGTGCTCGACAAAACAGGGAAGACTCCATCCCTTGGGTCCCTGAATGTGATGTTTAGATGTTTTCTCCCCTTTGGGATACATGTGAATTTGAATTGCATGGTCACTCTCCTTCGAAGCCATTTCACGGGTCTGGGCTTATCATTGTTCACTTTTTTTTGCTGCCAAGTAGCATTCACTGGAGCGCGAGACTGTGTTGCCATCAGTTCAGCTGCTTTCTCTCTCTGTGGAAGAAAAGCTTAATAAATCACAGCATTTTTTTGGCTAGTTCTTGCTATTACAAACCTATTTTTTGACTGAATTAAAAGGCATTCACAATATCAAATGTTTGTATTCTAAATATATCCATTACGAATTTTATCCTTCTTTTTCCAGGGGGAGGAAGACATAATAATATTCTCTTTGCAAGAAGTCCTCACGCACAGGCTGGTGGTATAGGCTTCATTCGCCCCTCCTGTTTCAGGGTTAGATAACCTCAGCCACCTCAGGACATTTGTACTTCAGTCAGTGACGTTTCACTCGTGTCTCCTTTTTAAATATAGATTCTACATACTCGTACTCTGGCAGATTCAATTTAAAAAGAAGGTGAAATCTGTTTTAAAATATTTTATATGTTTTATGCTATTGAGATTTTCTCCAGTGTGTGTCTCAGAAGTTGTCCACATTTTATTTAGTATTTTCCACACAGGCGTGTAAGGAGGTCATGTGGGAAGCTTTTAAAAATTCCTGGGCTGCGGCCCTTTCCTCAGTGATTCCGCTGATCTGGGAGTGGGGCGGGGGGCTGGGTATCGGGCATGTGAGTGGCTCATGAGAAGTTTCTCACCCCCCTTCAATGGAAATCCTCTGGCTGACAGTTTCTAAACACTGGTCAGCAGCAGAAGGGCTCATCTTCTCTTATCTCTCGTTAATGCCTCACTTTAAACTCAGCACGGTTCAGTTTGTCTATTAAGGATGCGTGTCCTGAAGGATTAATTTAACAGGTGTGCAGTATTCAAAATCTTGTACGTTACAAAGAAATTGGCCCTTATCTAGCTCATGGAAGGTAACTTCTGAGCCTGTGGAATATCCTGCCTACCAAGAGGGTCTCAGTGAACGTGGGGACTTCGAATCATGCCATATAACTTACATTAACAATGTGGATTACAGTCAGGGCCTCCGACCGCACCGTATCACCTTGACCTCCAGAGGGGCTGGAGTCTGAGTAACTAGGGTTAGCCACACAGGTACCCCCGCCCCTGTCACTGACCCCTAAAAACACCCTGGGCGCCAGGGCTCCCGGGAGCTCCCCTGGCTGGCAGCGGTCCGCGTGTGTCGTCACGCTTGGTGCTGGGAGGAGTGAGCCCTGTCCACACAACTTCACTTCGAGGGGCCATTGGAAGCCTGCGCCTGGCCCCTCCCAGACTCTACACCATGTGCCTTTCATCTTTGCTGATTTTAATCAGTATCCTCTCACTGTAATTAGCCATAATTGGCAGTATAGCAGCTTTTTTGAGTTCTATCAGTTCTTATAACAACAAATCATCGAACCAGAAGGTAGCCTTTGGCACCGCCGACTTATGATGGCAAGAGCTTTATATTTTAAAAGGCTGTTCGAGAAAGGGATAATGATTTCTCTCTGGTATGCTAAGAGTCATTCTTTTTTAAAAATTATTCAAATTGGATGTAAAATTTTATGAGTACATTTTTATCACTTCTAATGATGTTTCCTTGATTTTTTGATATTATAAAATATCTAGTTCTCCTTAATTTAATATTTTTCATTTCTAAAACTACTTATGTTGGTTATTTATTTAAGTATACTGTCCACTTTGATTTATTAATATTTTTTTTTTGGTTTTGTTATGAATGATTTGGTATTTTGTCTTTTATCATACATGGGCAAATGTTTTAATTGTTATAACTTAAAACTGTTTTATGAGAAGACTTTCTAAAATACAGTACTTCCTTCCTCCTTAAACAGAGCACTACCCAGCTTAACGTTTTCTTGACTTACTACCCGCGTTTTAAACATTATGGTGTGTAATGGGCCCTCTGGTCCCGTTGCGATAAGTGCAGCTTCTTCCTCTATGTTAAGTGCTCCCCAGGCTACTCTCTGTTTGGAATTTGTGGGTTTGCTTTCTTTTGTTTTTCCTGTGCTTTCAAGTCCCACTTGTAATTCTCAGGTTGCCTTCTGTAGTAGTCCTTCCCCTCCCATTTCTTGGCTCCTTTTTAATGAGTGTGGACTTAAAGACTGCATAATTCAGCTTATTATATAATGATTTTCAAAATGAGAGTAAATAGGCCCTGAGTAAGAGCCTGGGGCCCTGTTCTCTAGATGAGAAGCATCTATTTTGTGCCATGGATTTTTAAATACACATTTTAGATTTTCTGGAGATAGTGAGCTCCCTCTTTAGTTGTTGGCTGCTCCAGCTAGTTAAGTCATAAAGTTGATTGATTAGTTAGTTGTTCATCTGTGGTCTGTGCATCCGTCTGTCCATCCATCCATCCCTCCATCCATCCATCATTCACCCACCCATCCATCCATCCATCCATCCATCCAATCTTGAGCATTAGCATGGTGCTGTATACTGGATAGCTGAACCTAATAGTTCAACACAGTACGTAAACCAGCCTCTGCCTGGCAAATAACATGGGAGCACAGTCTAAACTTCTTTTTTGGGAACTTTGGATGAAGACCTTTTGAGTTTTATTTTCTCTGGCAATAACTTTCATTTCAGACTTTGAAGTTTCAATAAGGAGGGCGCCGTGGAGAAGAGCTAACACAGCGGGCCGGAGGCTGCGGCCCGTCAGAAGGCCTGCTTGCAAGGCCGGCTCTCAGCCGGCATGCGGGGACCCGGCCCTTGGAGGGCGCTCAGATACCATCTATCTGCCGAGGGCAGTTGACGGTGCCTGGACTGTGTGTGCGGACAGTGGGGTTTGTGGTGGACAGCTGCTTTCCTTCCGGACGCCTGCGGTTTTGATACTCATCAGTTAGACAGTGGAAACCTCGATCACTGGAGACCCTGCTGGGCTTGCGCGGCAGAGGCCTCTCCCACATGTGCTGCATTCTTGTGGCTGGGGACGAGGGCCCTGGGCCACCCCGCGTGGGCGACAGGGCCTGAGAGGCTCAGCGCCCGGAGCCCTGCGGACCCGCCCGCGCCTTCTCCCTTCTGGCTCAGCCAGCTGTGCGCTCTGCGGTCCCGCCCCCTTCGCCGTGGTTTCACTTTCCATACTCAGTTACCTGTGGTCAACCGTGGGCTGAAAATACTCAAAGAAAAATTCCAGAGATAAACAGTTCATAAGTTTTAAGCTGCATGCCATTCTGAATAGCACGATGAAAGCTTGCCCTGTCCCGCCGGGATGTGAATTAGCCTTTGTCCGGCGCATCCACTCTGTACACGCTGCCAGCCTGTGAGTCACTTAGTAGCCATCTGGGTCTCCAGATTGACTCACTGTACCATAGTGCTCGTGTTCAAGGCACCCTTATTTTCCTTCATAATGGCCCCAAAGTGCAGGAGCAGTGATGCTGGCAATTTGGACATGCCACAGAGAAGCTGTGAATTGTACTTACCAATGTATAGAGAAAAAAAACATGGTGTTTATAGGGTTCCGTACTATTTGTGGTTTCAGGCGTCCACAGCGGGTCTTAGACTGTATCCCTTTTGGGTAGGGGGCTACTATCTTCACCATGACTATGACCATAGGTGAGTCTTGTGAGTCCTCTAGCAAATCTCTGAATGTGAGGGTGGCCTTGGGGACCCCTGGCGCAAATGCCTAATGCTAAGGCTTCCTACTATTTGTGCAGTTCAGTACTCATTGCTGTATGTGGATTGTCTCGTTGCCTCTTCCCAGGACTCCTGTGAGGCGGCTCACGGTCGTCTCCGCCATTTCCAGTGCAGACCCTGTAGCTCACACATTTATCTCAGTGTCTGAGTGTTTTTCCAATCACTCTGCCATTTCAGGTACGAGCCCATCCTCACGGAGCCCGACCCGGTCCCAGCGTACGCTCTGAAGCTGCTGGTGGCCATGACTGAGCACAGCCCGGCTTTCACCAGGTATGCGCACGTCATATTTCTCATCTATGAGATGAGTTTTATATGTTCCGAAAATGTTAAAGATAATAAGATTCTAAAAGTCTAACAGTTGAGTTAGCAAAGTGGTCATTTTTCACGTTTTAATGGTTTCTACTATCTGTCGTTTGTGCTGTTTTGGATCTTGTCATGTTTTTATCCCTTACGGGAGTTTGCATCCTGTGGAATTTTCAATGCTTTAAAATGGTAGATTCTTTAAAGAGAAATAACTAACACATATCCTTTTTAAAATGTTAATTGATACCTCAAGAAACTAGTTGCAGTTGTATGGTGACACCTGAGAGCCTCTTGGGTTTATGGCCACCTGTAGGCACAGTGCACCTCTACAGCTGCCTGTCGGTCTTGACCCCTGAAGGCACTAAATCCCAGTCCCAGTCACCTGGGTTCCACCTGGTCATCTGTCGTATCACAGGAGTATGGCACAGTGATGAGCTCCTGTCACTGTGGCCACTCATGAACAAGAGAGGCTGTTTGTAGAGGGACTCCATACTGGGTGCAAATCTGACCCAGGCTGGTGGGCTGGTGGGCGTGCCAGTGAACCGGTGGGGGGTGTGACTGAGTCCCGGGGCCCTTGGCCGCCTGCGGTGCTGGACGGGGCAGCTCTCGGTCCGGTTTCTGCCGCTGTGAGCGGCCTCATTGGTTTCCGAGGGGCATCACACGCATCTTACCCTGCACGTGCTCTCTGTGCAAGGGGCCCACAGATTTCCACCAGGACAATGGATCTTTTATAAGTGAAAAAAAAATTTTAAATTATGTTACAGCCAGAGTATATGATACTATGTAACGGTTTGAAAGGGCAAGATAAATTTTGAGGGCAGAGATATCCGAAGAATTTTGTTAACTGAAATTCATTATTCCCCAACCCCATTCAACACTACCTTTGCTGTAGCTGGGTCTCTTTCTGGATTCACTGTTCTGTTCTGTATTTTTCCTGTCTTTTCCTGTCACGAGTAGCATGGCCATGAATATTCCTTGCCTGTCCTCAGTGAGCCCCTGAATGTGTCGCCACAGGTGCCCATGCCCGAGAGGACATGCTGGCTGCCAGGCCGCGCTCTCCCAGAGCCGACAGATACCACCGCCACGCCGTTTCCCAAACTGGCTGTACCCATGTACATTCCTAACAGCATTGTTTGGCGGGCTGGCTGGCATGTAATCTTAAAAAAAATAATTTCTTTTTAAAGTCAGGTTTATCAACATGTAATTTACAGAGTGCAACTCACTCATTTTAGGTATCTGGCTCTGCGTTTTCACAAACACACACAGCCGTGCAGCCACCCCACTATCAAGTCCAAGGGGAGTCACAGCCCTCCGGGGTGTGCCCTCGTCCCCCTTGGAACGCTGGCTTATAACAGTCTGTTTGGCTGGAGACTTACGTGACCGGACTGACTTCCTATTTCATTTTCATTTTTAAAATTTATTTTTTGAGTTAATACATAACATTACAAATTTCAATATTTGAAAGGGAAAAGCAAATTTTCACCTAAAGAGATAGCTGCTCCTACCACTTAGTAGTGTGTATATTAATTTTCATATAGATGTTAGTATGCTGTCTACACCATTCTGCACCTCTGTAAAAAAAAAAAAAAAAAATATATATATATATATAAAAAACCACTTCTGTGAGATGCAGATCACACACCTGCTGTACCTCTTTCTAAAAGATAACGTAGTATTGCATATTTTGAATATTCAGTATTTAATGAGTTTCCTTTGGTGAACATTTATTTATTTATTTTTAAATCTTTTGGTATCACAAAGCAAAGCTACAGTGAATGACATAGGTCATTCATCACATGTGCGAACATGTATGTGTAGGATAAATAATGAGAACTGGGTTTGCATCAACAAAGGGTCCATAAGCCCACACTGCCCAGACTCGTCCGTACATTACTTATCTTCTGGGGATCTTTTAAAGAGCGTAAAACTCAGGGCACGTCACAGGCCAATTAATTCGCAATCTCTAGGGCTGGGCAGAGGCACCCGCCATTGTTGAAGGTCCCCAGGTGACACAGTGTGCAGGCCAGCCTGGGAGCAGCTAGTCTGAGCGTTTGCAGTCTTGACGGGAGCGGCCGCGTTGCCCTCCGTCGGGCTCCGCTGGACTGCCCGTGCGGTGCTCTCCCCACCGGCAGCGTGGGAAGTGGCCGCTGGTGCCCGACCTTCATCAAATCAGTGTCTCTTAAGTGTTCGGTCTTTGTCATTCTGATAGCTGAACATTGGCTGCTGGTTTTTAATTTCTAGTTTTATTGCAGATTGTTTTCTTGTTATATGTCTAATTTTTGGCACTTCTTGTCAGTGTTTGTGAGTGTTCAATGTTTAATTGCTTATATTTACGAAAACAAAGTTAGGCCTAAGCCTGAGAAGAGTGTCACCCATCCTAATTATGGAAAGGGCCTAAAATGGTAGCTTATTAACCTATGCCATTTCCTCAGTGACTTGGTTGCAGTGGCTTGTAGGCAAGATTAAGTGTATATCAAGAGTAGAATTCTTTTATTGTTATGGGCAAATCGATTTCTAGTAATATAAAAATAACCGTGAACCATTTATTATAAGTTTAATTTATTTATTGGGTTCTTCAGCATTTATGGTTTTTGAAGGATACTCATCTTAGCATTAAGAGTTTGGAGTACTAAGTAATAACTATTGGAACATTAAACCATCCTATATCAAGTGAAACATTTATTATTTTACTCTGTTTATTCTTGTTTTATGGGATTCTTAGTAGATAAAGATGTCTTCAAAAGCTTAGTCATAGAACAATGGAGAAATTATTGTTCCCCTAAATAAGAAACAAGAGCCTGATCACATAACTCTTCATTGGACCTGACAGGGATTTTCTTAAAAGGCACTGTGGCCCTGTGAATCTGGCTTCTTATTGGGTTTACAGCAGAAAGATAAATTGTGTGCCACATTGGTCCAATTTTGCTGTTAGGAGAAATGTGTTAAATTCCCACGAGCTCGGCCCTTTTCTCATGCCTTAATTTTACAGTAGGGTGCACCAAACCGTTGCTTGCAGGCAGAGCGACGCCCCGGTAGCTTGTTTCCATTAAGAGGTAATTAGTTTCAGCAAATCTTCCTTAGCAAACAAATTTAATTTTAACTCTTTGAGTCCTTATGGAGCAAAATTTAGCTTTTTTCCTGAATTCCCAAATTGAAAAAAACAGTTTATCTCTTATCTAAGAATTATCATTTTAGTTTCCTTGGAAATACTAATACTCAAGTACCATCGTTGTTATTTTACTGCAAGAGGTCTAGCCTGGGCTATCAGAGTGTGACTTTGAGGTCAAGATTTCAAGCTTCCTGAACATTTACACACTAGGTATTACCGCCAGCAACATTATCAGCTCATGGCATCCTCACTCTACAAAATCTCTTGATATCATCAGTGCACCTTCTAAAGTCTCAAAGAATCAATCCCTTGATAATATTTGGCAAATTTTAGCATCACACTTCTGTTGCAATGTTTGCACTTTCTTTTGGTGATTCTCCAGGGTGATTTACCATTTTAGAATTAGCGAAGTACTCATACTGCCAACTTTTGCTGTTCTTTATCTGCTCTTGATAATTCACGCACTCTCTGCAAATATTTTACATATACCTGACACTGTCAGTCAACTCTAGAACAAGCGAAGCCCAACAGGATGGAATGTAACATGCGGCCCAAAGCACAGGCTCCCAGTTCATCCCCCATGTCTCAAACACCAAATCCTCTTCCGTATCAAGTCTTGGGATTTTATGCGATGACAGTTACTGGTCAGAATGTATTATAGTGTTTTCTGTACAGACAGGGCCTTGGTCACCTAATTAAAGAGAGTGAGAATTGCCAGACTAAACAGCGGTCTGTGTTTCCAATGTTCCGTGACTTCTGGGCACGCTTTTATTACCATCTCAAACATGTGTTATCACTTAGCATTCTTCGCCATAGCATGTGACATAGGCAAGAAACCCAGGCAGAGGAGGAGACGTGGTTCTTCAGTGAGGTAAAGGCCTCAGAGACACCCTGTACCCTTTCTTCTGCCTGGAGTCATAAATACAGCTGAACCCAGCTGTTTGCAAAGTGCACAGACTTCATTGAAGTATCTTGAAATTCTATATTAAGATAGGCCCAAAGGGAAATAGGCAAAGGAATGAAAAGGCCATTTCTAACAATGAACATGAAAAAGAGTCACCTTTGGTAGTAATCAAAGAAAACTTTATTAAAATAATTAAAAAAATCAAACTGGTAGAGTTAAAATTTTTACATTAAATTTATTGAAGTGCCATTGGTTAATAACATTACATACATTTCAGGTGTACAACTTTATAACATAACATCTGTATACTTCATTGTGCACTTACCACCCAAAGCCTAGTCTCCTTCTGTCGCTGTATAGGAAAGTTTTTAAATAGCACTGTTGAGTCTAGTGAAACGTTCACTTTGATAAATTAGTACATTGTTTGTGACAAGCAAACTGTCAGTATGTATTAAACCTTAAATATACTTTGATTCCACTTCTATGAATATATCAGAAGAAAGGAGTAAAAGATGTGCATAATATTTATAAGACAAGAGCATTCATTAAAACATTATTTAAAACAATAATAATAGTAAAGGCAGCTAATATCTGTCTTCAAAGAGAGTGTCCTACAGCCCAGACAGTGCTGGCTGCTTCACGCTCCCAGGTGCGTTTCCTCTCCCGCTGTCACCGAGTGGAGCAGGCAGAGGTATTCACCTATTCGCTCAGCGTTCATGTCCCTGTCTGGGACCATAGAGCTGGGACAACTGAACGAGGGTTTGAACTCATCGGAAGTGATCCCCTTACCATGACATTTGTTTGTTTTCTAAAGAGCCTTAATAAAAAGTGGAACACAAGGGGCCATCCAGAGGACTAGTTATGTACATTGTAGGATAAAAAACTCTGTGGGTGCCAGGACTCATTTTAAATGAAGATTTATTGATGTGGGAAAGGTTTTTAATAAACCCCCAT